GTCACGACCTGCAGTAGAGAATCCGCTGGCCTATATTTTCTGTATGGAAGATATGACTGTATTATATTAATTTTTTGGTATATTAAATTACTTTACTTCACTTAAATAACTATTCCTCAACCAAATTTTCACAGGTGGAATCAAAGCTTAGAGCAGTGGTTCTCAACCTTCCTAATGCCGCAACCCTTTAATACAGTTCCTCATGTTGTGGTGCCCCCCAACCATAAAATTATTTTTGTTGCTACTTCATAACTGTAATTTTGCTACTGTTATGAATCGTAATGTAAATATCTGATATGCAGGATGTATTTTCATTGTTACAAATTGAATATAATTAAAGCATAGTGATTAATCACAAAAACAATATGTAATTATATATGTGTTTTCCGATGGTCTTAGGCGACCCCTGTGAAAGGGTTGTTTGACCCCCAAAAGGGTCGCGACCCACAGGTTGAGAACTGCTGGCTTATAGTATCAGTATGAATGAAAATACTTTAAATTTATGCCAAGTTTCCCATCTAAGAATCTCAAATGATAAGAATATTTTTAGCCAATCCTGTTCCCTTTTTCTGCCTTATGAGGTATGATTATACAACCTCCACAAAAGAGGTTAAAAAATTTTCATAACACTAAGTGTAGGTTGTTTCCTCAGATGACAGGCATTACTGCGTGCCTATTATTTTCCTAGCCTCTGGAAAACTGCCAATATTGCATGACACTTCAAAAGCCCCTAGACCGTAAGTTAGTACGTGACCTAGTTTTAAGGGGTAGTTAACCTGGAATCTTCCATGGTGCAAGAAGAGTGTGACAAAGTGTAGGAAATCAATAAATGTTAGATAGAATCATGTAGATGGGCAGGAGAGAGCAGATGAGCAGACAGACTGTGTGGGGAGTAGTCCTACCATTCCTGAAGTCCACATGTCCATTTGCTAACAGTATAGATCACAGGCAGAACAGTGGGCATATATGCATTACTTCCGTAATGATAGTTCTCTGTGTGGTCTCAGTGCAAATTCGTCCACTGCAAGCTTCCCCTCCCGCGTACTGTGACACAGCTGTGGGCCACAAAGCCACAAAGGTGTCCTGGAAATATGCACCCCCTCACCTTCTGGGGTGGCAGGAAAGGGCTGGGCACAGGAACTCCCAGCCAGATATCCTTGTAATATATCTTAGTGGGTTGGACATAGGTTTTCATTTTTTTTGCGAGTTAAGCTGGGAAGGAACAATTTAAGGTGCTGAGATCATATCCATGGTGGAAGAGGATCAATAAGAGAGAGGAGAAGCAGCTAGAATGGAAGTTCCTAATACTATATTCTTCCTCAAATATATGAGTCTTCAGTACTTTTTTGTATTCCCAATGTCCATTGATAGCCTGAAATATTTTTTCAGTAAAGAATGCATTTTTGTTCTAAACAAAACCCTTCTTTCTAAACAAAGTCTCCTTGTTTGAAAAGTACTGGCTGAACTTTAAATAAAGATGAGAAGCCATTTGGGGAAAGAATCAGGAAAATCTATCAGGAGGGTGAAAGGAAAATAGATCCTCGAGGAGGTGAGAGTTGAGGACAATGTGGCAAATCAGGAAACAGTAATAATCTGCCCAGCGGTCATACAGAGGTCAGAAAATTGCAGTGCAAATCAACGTTCCATATGGTCATGAGAAGGCACAAGTGGTTCAGGAGCAGACCTTGCTTGGGTACATGGTTTCTGATGGGATAATCAATAAGATCTCAATTACTTAATTAACAAAAAGTACGAATCTTTCTTCTTTATTTCATGTGTCACAAAATTGGTTGAACTTTCCCACTATGAGTAATACCAAGTTGAATAAACACATTTGACCTGACCAAGTAATGAGTGCTGGCAGGATACCGACCACCGAATGACAGTCTGTGAGTCCAGATCATCCACCGTTATTTTTTATTTTATTATTTTAAATCTCAGTTGGGCTAAAAACAGATGTGGCCATCAGGATTATTTATAGGCTGTAAATCTATCACCCAGTAAGGAAAATCATTTTTTAGCAACGAAAGAATAAAAGACAAATGTGCTCTCACCTAAAACACAGGGCATGAAATTATAACCATTATTTCAAACTGAGCACTCATAACACTTATCTCCCGTGTGCCAAGTGAAAGAGCAATTTTTGTTTTGCTTTTAACCTTTGTCAGTTGGAGACCACGTTCATAGAAATTTTAAGTATTTTCTTCACTACCTATAAAATCAAGATACAGCCAAGGGAGATAAAAGAATTCTTAAAGCCCACATTTTCAAATTAATCAAGGGAAACATACTCCTTAATATTCTATGCAGTACTGGATAGGCATAGGCTTTGGAGTCAGACACATTAAGGTTTGAATCCTAGTTGTACCATTTCTCTGTGTGTGTATAAGGTCATACACTGAAACTCTGGGCCCCATTTTCCTTGCCTGAAATATAATATCTGAGATTCTGCCTCCCCTTGTTAGGGTGGCTTTGAGTATTAAGATAGATAATACAGTATATGTAAAAGTGCCAGGCATGCAACAAATTGTGGTTCTTATTTCTTTAAAGAAAAAAACAAAGTTTTAATGTTTAAAAAGTAGAGAGGGACAACCAAGATGGTGGCATAGGTAAACACCTGAACTTGCTGCAGCGCACAACCACATTAAAACTACAACTAAAAGACAAAAATATACCATCCAGAACCGAGGGAAGGCTGGTTGAGTGGAAATTCTACAACTAGAAGGAAAGAGAAAAGTGCATTGAGCCCGGTAGGAGGTGCAGAGGTACGGAAGTGTGGAGGTACGGAGGTGCACGTGAAAGGGCCTGGCAGCTGGGTACGCTGTTGTCTTTTTCAATCAGGAGGGAGAAACAAGTTCCCAACTTCTCTGAACTCCAGTTCTGGGTGAGAATTTGGGGACCCAGACTCATAACGAGAGAAACTGGACTGTCTGGCATCGGGCCGGAGCATGAGGGTGGCTTTCGGGCAGAGGTGCTTGCAGCGGTCATTGTTCCTGCA